CGACGTAAAACCCAATTTCACCTCACCTCACCTGACCCAGTTCTCTGCAAACACATCTGTTTCAGAAACCAGGTTGTACATGTATTACTCATTGTATAACAAACGAAACAATTACTAGAAACTTAACATTTCCTGAACAGGATGCTCAACACGCCATGTCCCATGAGTATTGCAGCTTGACCTGTCACAGTTCGGATTTCTACATATGTAAGCTGCCCTTAAATTATCTTCCTGTATCTATCCATAAAGAACACGTGACCCCTAAAATTCCGGTTCAGAATTTGTCTTCAGCAACGAATGCTTGCCTTGAGAGGCGTCAATAGTTGGATTATTATAGTCTGTCTCACAGTTCCTGGGTCTCGATCCACAAAACCTTCGTACCGCTACGACAGTCGGCCTATGGTAAACTATAGAGTTACGACAGGTCGTAACGTTACGAACGCTTAGTGGATCGAGACCCTGAACCACATTACTTTCCCTACTGCCCAGCCCTTTCTGCAAAGCTATAAAGTCCTAAATGAAGCAAGGATAGATTTCCCCGGGTTCTGAATCTCCCATCTCACTGGGCTACTTTTCTAGTTTAAATGGAATTGTTTGTTTCCATAAAATCTTCTATATTCTGGGACTCCACGTAGTCTGGTCATGGCTCGTTTTGTTTCCAGAACGACGTTATTCTTCAGGAATATTGATGAGTGCAGCGTTAATCAAGAGACGTAAAGGAAACATTTGCTTCATGCTTTCACATGAATACAACCGACTAAAATATTGCTATTACATCAACCTCAACACACTGCAACTGCCTCAATGGCCACGACTGTGACTCCAAATATATAGCATATGTTTTCGTTTTCCGTTTTGTGGGAATAAATATCAACACTGGCTGACTATCCGGAATGCACGCTTCCTGTTGATCATTACTGTAAAGGGTGTGAGGATGAGACTGGCTATTTATAACAAGCAGAAAGAGACAAGCTGTGGGTCTGTCAGTTTTATATAGACGCGCACCAGACCGTCTCGTGTGCACTTCCTGACTCGCAAACTAGTGTTTAATTACCATAACATACACCCTTGGCCTACACGCCTTCATCGAACATTCTGTCAAATTTGTAGCGATGACTTTATTCAGTCTTATTTGATACTAACATTCAAAAATGTTATTTACCATCTTCGATTTCAACACTAACTAAATATCTTTGTGTGCAGAGATTCGCAATTCAAGTTGACATAACTTCATCTTGTACGTACCACCATCGTGGAATGTGCCAAACGCCCGGGCTATGTGATGACCTTGTTTTTAAACAACTTTATTTTGGCGTAACCGCAAACCCCGGGTTAGAAGAATGCAATTTCTGTAACGCCCGTATTCTGATAACATTATGTAATTACACATTACAATCTGTCTCCTGTCAGGCCTTCGTCTGCTAATTACGCTCTATGACAATCTCTAGTGATGCTTTAATCCCATGAATAGTTACTACTGTCTCCTTAAATTCATAAAACAAGGGTGAATAGTGAATAGATCCCCGTGCCTTAACAAAGCTATGAAAACCTGGCTCTTTTACACGTAAACACCATGTGATGGTTATCATATATTTTAACTGATTAAAATGTACATGTAGTCATGTATATTGTACGAAGCCGTTCTGTGCTACTGTAGTGCAGAATATTCTGTGTACCCATGTGGAGAATCGAACCCCTGCCTTCTGCGTGATGAGCGAACGCTTTAACCACGAGGCTACCCTAGGCAAACTTGTAGAGAATAGCCACAGAACAAACAATACATACAACTTCCCAAGGGTCCCACAATAACATTCATTGCACCCACTGCACAAGGAGGCAGATTATGGGTGTCATTTCACCTGTCAATCATGATGTCATCGACTCATTCCAGACTTTTGAAGTTATTGTCTAAACGCACTGGGCCTCCTTTACAAAGCACTAAGTCACTATGGTAACCTTAGTGCAATGCTAAAGACTGGGAGTTAATGTTAACCTTAGTAAAGGTTGCTTCGTGAAAGGATTCACAGTCAACAAACCATTATTAGAATTATTATAACAACCCACAGGACAGACGAAACTATGACAAGACGAACTACTATTGCTGAGACGTCTACATCAAGGTGACCATGATCCCGATATAGCATTGGGGAATCGTTGTACAAGGTGGGTCTATGGTTATCCCTGCTCACAATGCACCAGCAGTAATTCGAGCGAGTCATAGTGACCCGGATACACTTGCAACGTATTCACATGATAGAGTTTACACATGCTCTCGCGCGACATTGCGTTGGCAGATTTCCTTGGGAAATAATGACGTTTACCTCTACGTCCAACCTCGGGGTTATGCCATCAGGTCGAATGAATCAGAACCTGGCACTAGTCCTATAGTCATTGCCAAGCTATCCTATGTATCATAAGAACGACTGGAAATGTGCCATTTGAACATGCATGCTGTCATTATAAGGACTTGGGACCCACACCTGTTAGTTTCTCTTGCTCAAAAAAGTATATATATGACAAGTACACTTAATTAAGATTTATTCAGAATTAATGTTAGAAATGATGCACTTTGTCAGTGTGGCCATAATTGTAAAAATGCTTTTCATTATTTTCTTGAATGTCCATTATATATAATTCGAAGAGAACAAATGTTAACATCTTTAGAAAATATAGTGAATAATAGAGCATGTATTGATATTAATCTCATCTTAAATGGCAATGCAGGTCTCTCGCTTAGTGAAAATCAGAATGTTTTTAAAAGTGTACATATCTACATCCATAACACTAAACGATTTAAATAACTCTGTCTGTACATATCTATACCCTTTGTCTGCCTCTTGTTGAACTTGTTTGTAATATACACTTGTAACTATGTGGAGAGGGCTTATTCAAGTTGGATAATTTGTGCCCAATCCGTTTCTTAATTGAATAAAATATGTTTCAATCAATCAAAAAAGTATATTATTTTATACTTTATAACAATTATCCTCTGGACCAAATACACCAGTGACAGAAAACACGTACAATCATCCACGCCTTATAGAAAGCTTGACCACCCGACCCTCTAGTGTGAGCGTGGATGGCCAGCAGTGAGCCATATGTCCTCCCCTGACTTGCAAGTGATGACGTTTTGCAGAATAGGAATAAATATATTGCTATCCATATTCATATTAATATATTGCGAACAGATACTTCTCCAAAACAATCGGACAATACGCTCGTTCTTAACCAGTTTTGATCAAGTTAATTCTCCAATTGTTGGTGAAACAATCCAAATGTGAAAATGATCAAGGTAGCTTCACCTTTTTTAACTACTAGTATTTTGAAACTTATAGCTCTTTAACTTTCTGACAAATGTGCATTAAAATTAGTTTCTTCTTCCACAATCAAATTCCAAAATGTACATTCTGGTGGAAAATAGATTAAAACAGAAACAGTGTATTCTTTCGAAATACTTCGAAACTACCCATGTGCATACTTAAACATTTCCCTGATGAAAATATGTGAAGGGTGTCAATAATTCATTCTTAACTGCTTCCTTGACAATAATACCATCATCACTTGCGCGGCTGTCATATGTCTCTGGGGCGAAAGATAAGGTTGTTCAGACTCAGGTGTATTCTAAGTGGAACTATCAGATGTCAGTCTAGATTCCCACACGGATAAACAAACCATACACTACTTGAAGAAACGTAAACACGACAGTTGTCGTAAATCAAATGTAAATTCAAACTGATACAGCTAGTTTTATTTCAAACACTTAGTAGATTTCAACGTGTGCTACCAGTAGTATCAGTTGAATACAACTGTCTGAATGTCGATGTACGCTTTTCACTTGGAAGGGTGGAATTTCACACATTTTTGCCTTTGTTTTGAATTTATCGTAGTTTCTAGTGCGGACTGTGGTTGAAAGTCCGTTCTAAATACAGTCTGACTTTTAGCATCATTTTATGTCTCTCTTAAACTTTAATATCAATAATTAGACTAACACCATTGCCGTTGTAATTGTACAACCCATTTAGAGTGTGACAGAACTTCCTTTTCAAATTTGAAAGCACGTATTGATCACTAAATAGAAACGCATCCGGCTTACATACAGGTGCGAACAGCAGACCACGATCAGCTCAGAATTTCATAAGCCTAGTTACGCACTTCAAGATAACAAAACTGCTGCGGTCATAGTTAAGAATGCCAATAAAACAACGATCGCCTAATTAAACGCAACATGGATTTATCCCCCATCCTCTCACCACAGGGCACCCGGCGTCAACGAGCCCCCATTGTAGGCGGGAGGGGAGCCTTTGAACACAGGTGGGCGGCGAATGGCGGGCATACACAGGGCAGGTTTGAGCACCCATGCGTTAAAAACCTGTCTCCTTTTTCACAATGCTACGCGCGTTGCCGCAGGACAAATTCCGTAATAATCCCGACCGTTGTAAATTCTAACCTGCTTTCAAAATGCACGAGCTGCACGATGTCCGTATGGTTATCGTGCTGTATATAGACTCGGGTCGAAGCAGACGACATGCCTTGCATTCAAAACCGTCCGCAGCTGTCTGCTTGAAAGTGAGTAATATCTCGAATGGAGGCCAGCGAGTGTTTTTATCAAGTGAAAATGATAGTTTCCAGTGTGACAAAATACACGACCTACTATCACACCCCAGTAAGTGAAAACGAAACTGCGATAGACATCGTCTGTGCAAAGATGGGATCCGTTTTCACAACAACAATCTCCGGGCAAGGGCTGTTGAGTAAAGTGGGTCGCGCGATACCTTGAAAGGCTGCAAGTCAGTGTGTGGGTTAAATTTAGCACCGTAGATGAATATATCCAGTTAAACGCACTTGCCACGAATGACTGTAAGAAGAGCCCGGCGTGAAGCGCTGTACATAGTTACAATGTGACGGAGGAGACGATCGGAGTTGAACACAAAGTCGCAAAGCAAAAAGACCACTGTTATTCGTTAGTGGGCACAGACAAGTCAGCAAAATTGATCACTTACCCAAAACAAAAAGTTGAATGCAAACATCAAATACTTGATGCAGGTGTAACAGCTTCCTAAACCCATGATTAGTTAATCCTTAATCCAGACGAAGGACAAAATACAGATCCAGCGAGTATATCCGATGTAGGCTTGTTGAACAGAGCTATCGATTGTTCAGACTGAGCTGGAGAGAGCCCTTCAGATTATACGGATGTGACGTCACGAGGCGCGCCGCAGTGAATCGCACGGGGAAATCTTTGAAAAACTCGAGTCATCTAACATAGATAAATATTAACAATGGGAGTTTTCTGTTTCACTGTTATAACTGAGCGTTGTGTGAGGTCAGCGTGAACATGCGACTTTCCCAGTTGCGCAAATGTGTAATGTCAGCCCGTAGTGATACGCTTGAAGTCTAAAAATAGCAGGTTGGTCCAGTTCGGCTTCAGGCTTGTTGCTATGTGTGGTATTCGTTTGAAGCCGGCAGATCCCTGTGATAAAGATGGCACAAAGTGGATCCAACAACTTCGGTACATGGTTAATCAAACCGGATTTGTAGGAATGAGTGCAAATGATTTTGAAATCAAGAGGAAGGCTATATATTTCTATTACAAATTAAGGAACAAATACCGCGTCCAACTAAGCAGGTGCCCCCAGTCTTGACAGGGTGTTTTTATTTCGAAGATTGCCGAGAGATCACACACTTAGCCGAACCTCAAGGTCATTCTCGAAATGAAGCCAATATTTAAATTTGTGTTGAACGAGTCATTTTCTCGGAATGGTATTTTAAGAGCAACCGGTACGTCCACAAAATATCTTGCCTAAAACGTGGATAAGACTCATTTGTATGTCCTGAAACAGACTATATGTTTCTTCAAAACATAGAAACAGAATAAACTCACAAATCGCACTGGAGGTCAGAATGACTGATATTTGCAAGATGTCACTTCAATGTTAAAGAACAAAAGCAATATAAAAATATCTGATGTTCTGAAACGTGTTTTGTGTAGTATATGTAATCTAGCTAAAAGTCTTCAAGATGGAACATTACAGTGGGTGCAGGATATGTTGGTACATATTTACACAGACATTCAGTGACAAGGCTTCTCTAACACGTGGCACAGTAGTTGCTAGGGGAGGTCCATGAACAGAGGGATGTCCCTCGGCCGTTACAGGATTTCAGCTTATACTGTGGTGGACTGACCGCAAGAGGGCGCTGCAGTGTCACACCCATCGATAATGAAAATACTGCATTCTGTACCTTTGAAATATGTACACATCTGAACACATTCATAACAGTAAAGCAGAATACAGTATTCTGACGTACATTTTATATTAATAAGATAAGATAAGATAAGATATTTATTGCATAGCATTCCATGAAGAAACAGTGGCAATATTCTATAAGCTACAAATATTTACACAGTAGGTACAAGAAATATAGATACATTTCACACATAAATGATGTACATTATAACAATTTTAGAAATCATGTGGTATAATGACATGGAAATAATATATGAGGAGACTATGGTAAGATATAATACACATCTACACACGCAAAGTAGTAATTGTTATGTTTCTGAGTAAAACCTGCTTCAGAACTTTATCATAGAAATTCCTACTTTTGCCCGTTTTGTTCTACTCTTGTGAGTCATGTTTACACGATACTAACCACGGTGGACTTAGAAAGGCTGCTTCTCAAGAAAAGTATATTTACTATCTAGGATTACAAAATGTTAGAAACTATCCGTGCAATAATGAAGATGTCGAGACAAATTATTCATACTGTAATGACAGTCGAAAATCCCTGTATAAAGATTTGCCAACCCCAGACATAATTACATAAGTAATACGGCCATACCCTGTTTTAATTACATTACGCAATAAGCCTGATATGTATTGATTACCTCCACAAAAGGTTGTACCATGTATTAATTACATTATGTAATTGGGTTGTTATTAAGTAATTATCTGTAACTGAAAACACCGATAGACTATTCAATTACGAATGCTCGTAGAATTTCTTAACATTTTGATATTATGTAAGTGTGCATGCGCGCTAACATCGTACTGTAGTGATTGTACGTATTGTGGATCAGTGGCCGTGAAACGATAAACATTGATTCATTGATAATTGTGAACTTACTGGGGACAAGGGTACCCCAGTTGTTAGACGAGTCCAGGATTGTCTTGAGTGAGTGAGTGAGTGAGTTTTACGCCGCACTCAGCAATATTCCAGCTATATGGCGGCGGTCTGTAAATAATCGAGCCAGTGATCAACAGCATGAGCATCGATCTGCGCAACTGGGAACCGATGACATGTGTCAACCAAGTCAGCGAGCCTGACCACCCGATCCCGTTAGTCACCTCTTACGACAAGCATAGTCGCCTTTTACGACAAGCATGACCAGGATTGTCTTGAGAATAGAGGCGGATTTTCGCGATATGAATCAGTTCAACTTATAACTGAAATATTGTTCAAAGCTGCGTGACTCGTAGAACCTTCCACACTCACCAACAGTGTCACGCTCTCTCACTGATCCAGCCATCCACTTACTCGGCTACATATGTACGTTCACTCCCTCAGCCATCAATACAAGCTACACACACACACATACACACACACACACACACACACACAAAGAAGAAAAAAAGGTTAAGTCCTGGTTTCGACAAATAGATAGACAGCAAGCTGACACCACCCTTAACACTAAATTTTTATGACTGGACCGTGTAATAGTCCCCTTATATGGCGCTCATATCCAGGCACATTGCCTGTTCACGGCGCTACGTACATTACTATCCCCGGTCATAGGACACTATCGTACTTTCCAATACTTTTCAACTCCCTGGGAATCATACAGCCATGCTGTCTGTTAGACGCAATGAACTAAACGCTCACATTGCCAGCACTTCATCACAGGTACCCATTTTACAGCTGGGTGAACTGAGGCAATGTGGATCTAAGTATCTTGTCCAAGGATATACTTCGCAAATGTGCCCAGCTCAGAACCCGAACCTAGGTGCGAAATGCATATCATGATCATATCAAAACCCGCACATTATATCTCCTAATAATCATCATCATCTTCACCCTCGGGCGTTGGCGTCTTTGCAGTGATATGACATGCACCTCCTTGCACTTTCAGCACGTCGTATTTGACATGAGCAAATACCGTGTAAAATCCTGCTGTCACTGCCCTATAACATTACGGGATCTTATAAATACACATGGGGGATATGGCTCTGAGGTTTATAACGCCTAGTCCTTTGTTGAGTAAGTGGAACATGCGTATTAGCAATACAATCAGATTTGTTTGCGGATGTAAACGTTAAGTGGTCGTTTGAAATGGACAACCAATATAAATCAAACCAAATTATGACGTAGCATTAATCATTCTGGCATTATTATGTGGAATTTAAAACTTATGTGGATTAAAAAACCAGTAGCTACGTGACGTTGTCATAGATGTTGTGTATACACAAGTACATGTGTTTGACTCGTATCTCGTTGTACAATAGAATAGGTCAGCGAAACTACTCCTTGTCATAGATGTTGTGTATACACAAGTACATGTGTTTGACTCGTATCTCGTTGTACAATAGAATAGGTCAGCGAAACTACTCCTTGTCATAGATGTTGTGTATACACAAGTACATGTGTTTGACTCGTATCTTGTTGGACAATAGAATAGGTCAACGAAACTACTCCTTGTCGTGCTGCCTTTGTTGAAGGACTACTCGTACGTACTCACTCACTCAAACACGTATGTACGCGGAATGCTCAACACGACGTTAAGACCCATCCTACCTCACCTGTTCCCGTCTGAATGAACTGGTCTGTAGTGGGTGGTCGTTTCTTTAGTGGATGAGTGAGTGGCCATGGCTGAAGTGGGTAGTCTTGTCTGTAATGGGTGGTCAGGTCTGCGGGTCTGGAGTGGATGGTCAGGTCTGCAGGTCTGCAGTGGGTGATCAGTTCTGGAGTCGGTGGTCGGGTCTGCAGGTCTGCAGTGGATGGTCAGGTCTGGAGTGGGTGGTCCGTTCTGGAGTGGGTGGTCAGGGCTGCCCGTCTGGAGTGGATTGTCAGGTCTGCAGGTCTGGAGTGGGTGGTCAGGTCTGGTATGGATTGTCAAGTCTGGAGTGCGTGGTCAGGTCTGGAGTGGCTGGTCAGGTCTGGTGTGGATGGTCAGGTCTGGAGTGGGTGGTCAGGTCTGGAGAAGATGGTCAGGAGTGGGTGGTCAGGTCAGGAGTGGGTGGTCAGGTGTGGAGTGGGTAATCAGGTCTGGTGTGGATGGTCAGGTGTGGAGTGGGTGGTCAGGCCTGGTGTGGATGGTCAGGAGCGGATGGTCAGGTCTGGAGTTGGTGGTCAGGAGTGGGTGGTCAGGTCTGGTGTGGATGGTCAGGTCTTTGGGGAGTCGGGTCTGGAGTGGGTGGTCGGGTCTTGAGTTGGTGGTCAGGTCTGGAATGGGTGATTGGTTCCGGAGGTGGTGGTCAGGTCTGGAGTGGGTGGTCAGGTCTGGAGTGGTGGACGGGTCTGGAGTGTGTGGTCAGGTCTGGCATGGGTGGTCAGGTCTGAAGTTGGTGGTCAGGTCTATTTTGTGGTCAGGTTTGGAGTGGGTGGTCAGGTGTGCAGGTTTGGAGTAGGTGGTCAGGTCTGGAGTGGATGGTCAGGTCTGGAGTTGGTGATCAGGTCTGGAGTGGTCGGTCGGGTCTGGAGTTGGTGGTCAGGTCTGGTGTGGATGGTCAGGTCTGGTGTGGCTGGTCAGGTCTGGAGTGGATGGTCAGGTCTGGTGTTGATGGTCAGGTCTGGTGTGGGTGGTCAGGTCTGGTGTGGATGGTCGGGTCTGATGTGGATGGTCAGGTCTGGAGTGGGTGGTCAGGTCTGGTGTAGTTGGTCAGGTCTGGAGTGGGTGGTCAGGTCTGGAGCGGGTGGTCAGGTCTGGAGTGGGTCGTCAGGTCTGGTGTGGATGGTCAGGTCTGCAGTGGGTGATCAGTTCTGGAGTCGGTGGTCGGGTCTGCAGGTCTGCAGTGGATGGTCAGGTCTGGCGTGGGTGTTCAGTTCTGGAGTTGGTGGTCAGGTCTGCAGGTCTGGAGTGGATGGTCAGGTCTGCAGGTCTGTAGTGGTGGTCAGTTCTGGAGTCGGTGGTCGGGTCTGCAGGTCTGCAGTGGATGGTCAGGTCTGAAGTGGGTGGTCAGGTCTGGTGTGGATGGTCAGGTCAGG